AAGACAGACAGACAGACAGACAGACAGACAGACAGACTGACAGGCAGAAAAAACAAGAGACGTAAAGATAACAAGACACATTCAGTCTATCAAGCTAACATGTAAACAAACAGAACAGAAGCTAAAGGAAGAAAGTTCTTCCAAACTTGATGCAACTCCTAACTTGAATTTGTCCCCGTCTTCGCTCAACTTCAAACAAGAAACAATAAAAATTTTCAAATAAACAAACAAAACAAAGAAGTAAATACATAAAAATGAATAAATAAAAACACATTCATAAATAGGAAGAAAGAAAGAAAGAAATACAGCAGAGTCCGCATAAACCGAAAACTTTTCATCCCAAAAAACACCGGTAAAACAAATTCTCTTTTTTTTCGGTTATGTCCTCCCCCTTTAAAAAACAAAAAATTTGTGAAACCTCCCTCTTTCTATTGAGAAACAATCAGGAAAACCAATGAAAATCAGGCGGTACCAAAGACTCCACTGTAAACATTTAAAAAAACATAAATTTTAAGAAAGATATAATCAAGAAAACAAAACCAACAACATAATATTTTTAAAAAACGGCGGAGACGGGAGATAACCCTTGCCTAGCCGGAGACTTTTGGCGCTGGCGTCTGTGTTGGTGTCCTCCTCCCCGAGACCACACAGTTCACCAGAGGAGGCGGTCGTTAGGGACGCCGAGCTGCTGTCTTTTGGAAACACAAGAACAACACAAGACACAAAAGATTGCCTGTGGCGACCCCTTTTAGTTTTAGACACCCATCGACACTTTTACCATAATTTAGGAGGTAGTTGCCTGCTTCTCTACCTGCCGGGGCCAAGGTAAGCTGGGTAGGACATGATGACTTAGTTTTTAGTACGAATTTTATGGCACTTGCAACATGATAAGTTCATATAAGTGCCGAGGATTAGAGTTGTTACAAGAGAGTAACAAACATAAAAAAGAAGGAGAGATAAAGATGATAGTTGTTTGATGGGAAAGAAGGAGCAAACAACACCAGAGTCCCCCTCCGACCCCCTCAAATAAGTAAAAAGAAAGTGCCGAAGACCGGAATTCTTATTAGAGATTAACATAGAATGAAAAGAAGGAGGAAAGATCAGGACGATAGATGCTTGATAGGAAAGGAAGAACAAACCACACCAGTGCACCCGTCACCACAAACGTTCAAAGAAAAAAAGGAGAGATAAGGACGATAGATAACAGATGTTTGAAAGGAGAGAAAGGGCAAGTGTGTAAGTGTAAAGCGTTCAACAGAGTGAACAGAAACAAGCTGTGGAAAGAACTCGAAAACTACACTGTAAGAGGCCAACTTCTAGATAACATCCGTGCCATTTACGAGAACAGCATACGTACAGTAAGAACGTCAGAGGTACTCACAGAATGGTTCAAGATAACATCCGAAGTAAGACAATGTTGTGTCCTGTCACCACTAATATTTATCATATATATATATACGGATAGAATTAGAAAAGAGGCCAACACAGAACCAGACCGCCCTAAACGAATTACTCTTCGCTGATGACCAAAGCTTTGCACACAAAGATGAATGAAGTCTCCAACACCACACCACCAGATTAAACGAAGAATGTAACAACTATGACAAGAAGATCAACATCAACAAAACAGAGACAATGAAAGTAAGCAGAAAGCCAGAACCACTCAGAATACACATCAACAACAACAGTCTCAGACTGATCCAAGAATTTAAATACCTCGGAAGTATATTCTCGGAGGATGGGCGACTGAACAGAGAAATTGAAACACGAGTACAAAAGGCCAATAATGTTACACCACTAACGAAACATCCTAACATCCCCCATGACAACAGAACTCTAAATGATCAACACCATATATTCATCCCAACATTCACCTATCAATGCCAAACATGGACCACGAATAAGACATTAAAGCAAAGAATTACAACATGTGAAATGTGATGCCTTAGAAAAGCAGTAAACAAGACCAGTCGAGACAAAATTAGAAACTCTGTAATCCGAGAAATGGTGGGCACAAATGGTGTCATGCATCACATCCAACACATAAGAATCAAAAGGTTCGGACATCTCCTACGATTACCAACACACCATCCAGCACAAATTGCCTACATCCAAAAATTCAATGGCAACAAGGCTAGAGGGCGACCGAGAAAGACCTGGATAGATGGAGTCAGGGAAACATTAACCACCCACGGCACCCCCCTGACCCAAGCTCTCCGGCTGGCGACAGAGAGACATCTCTTTCTTCTCGCGACACCCAAAAGGGTATAAGCGGCGGATAAAAGTAAAAGTAAAGTAAAGTTTTGTTTTGTTTTATTTTTTAAAGAGGAACAACACCTGAACACCATTCTTGAAACGAAAGAGCCTTACCACCGTTGTCGACAGGAACGGTTGTTTTTTTGTTTTTT